ATTTATAAGATAAATAGAAAAACAGCAAAAGTAGTAAAGGAGCTATTATTTATGGCTTACTATAAGGGACTCCACATAGGCTAGTATTTCATTTGCTCTTCACAAGAATATTATAAGACATGGTAATATTTGCATTTTACATATACAGAATTGCAGATGTAGAATAAGTCGCTTGGCCAAAGTTCTAATAAGTGGCAGTCAAAGAAAATTGGAACCCATGTCTCTTTGTTTCCAAGTCCCATGCTCTTAACCACTGTGTACATTATCTTCCTATATATTTTTATTGATTAAGAATGAGTGCAGGCCGGGCGCGGTAGCTCATGTCTATAATCCCAGTACTTCAGGAGAATGAGGCAGGCAGATCACAAGGTCAAGAGATCCAGACCATCCTGGCCAACATGGTGAAACCCCGTCTCTACTAAAAAAAAAAAAAACAAAAAAAAAAATACAAAAATTAGCTGGGCATGGTGGCGTGTGCCTGTAGTCCCAGCTACTCGGGAGGCTGAGGCAGGAGAATTGCTTGAACCTGGGAGGCGGAGGTTGCAGTGAGCCAAGATCGGGCCATTGCACTCCAGCCTGGCTCCTGGCAACAGAGCAAGACTCTGTCTCCAAAAAAAAAAAAAAAAAAAAAAAAGAATGAGTGCAGGAACCCAATTCATAATTGCAAATATATGGAACCAACCTACCATTGACAAATGAGTAGCTAAAGAAAATGTGGTATATATACATAATGGAATACTATTTGGCCATAAAAAATAATAAAATAATGTCTTTGGCAGTAATTTGGATGAAGCTAGAGGCCATTATTCTAAGAGAAGTAACTCAGGAATGGAAAACCAAACACCGTATGTTCCCACTTATAAATGGGAGCTAAGCTATGAATATGCAAAGGCATACAGAGTGATATAATGGACTTTGGAGACTTAGAAGGGGACACTAGTCTGGTGACAATTGCACTAAAATCTCAGAATTAACAACTATATAATTCATCTATGTAAACAAAAACCACTTGTAGCCCAAAAGCTATTAAAATATATTTAAAAAATTAAAAAGAAAGCAATAGTACAATTTTAAAAAAAGAATGAGTGGAAGATATTAACCAAGGCTTTATTATAATTTGTATGGTCCCTAGACATCTTTCTCTTCATGTATCCCTTCCTTCATTAAGAAATTCTTAAAATCGTGTTAATTTAAAGACTACTATAAGCAAGTATAAGCAAGACTGGATTCATTACAATATATTCATTAGTGTTATATTCATTTTTCCTCAAATTTTAAAAGAAATTAAAATTAGGCCATGAGTGGTGGCCCACGCCTGTAATCCCAGCACTTTGGGAGACCACGGCAGGCGTATCACCAGAGGTCGGGAGTTTGAGACCACTTTGACCAACATGGAGAAACCCTGTCTCTACTAAAAAAAGCAAAATTAGAGGGGTGTGGCATGTGCCTGTAATCCCAGCTACTCGGGAAGCTGAGGCAGGATAATCACTTGAGCCCAGGAGGTGGAGGTTGCAGTGAGCTAAGAATGTGCCATTGCACTCCAGCATGGCCAATAAGAGTGAAACTCTGTCAGAAAGAAAGAAGAAAGAGAGAAAGAAAAAGAAAGAGAGAAAGAGAGAGGGAAGGAGGGAGGAAGGAAGGAAGAAAAAAGGGAAGGAAAGAAGGAAAGAAAGAAAGAGAAATTGAAACATTTTTATGGGTCCCTAAAAGAATTCTGGTTCTAAGTAGTATGACTAGTACACCTAGTGGATAACTAGGTCTCAGCATCAAATTGCACACAGAAATCAAACAAGCAATAGCAAAGAAAAGAAAGAGAGAAAAAAGGTTTTAATGTCACATTTTTAAAGCCAAAGAAATAATCTTTCTTACTTTCTAAAAAGTAAAGGACACAGGGCAGTAGGAAGCAACCGTAACCCATGGCGGTTGCTTTAAGGTGAAGAGTAGATTATACTGTACGTGGGGTGCTCAGCGTCTCAGTCAAAGATGTTGAAAGAAAGGACACCAGGGCAAGAATTAAACCCGCCTCCTGAAGGAAGCAGGTGAGACTTTCGTGCTCAACTGTATTCAGCTTTCCTGGAAAGGAGAGTTCGCATGAGTAGTTTTGAGATCCTGCTTCATGAGACTCACCTGGACTGGGCTATAACTGCTTCATTCCTCACAAGCTGAGAGGCCAGGTAGCAGAGGGGCAGGCCTCAGAAGTCAAGTCCCTGGAGACAGCATGGAGTAATGAAAACAGTGGTTTTTAGATCTGGTACAACCTTCAGCCTTTCTACCTAGTAACTGTGTGGTTTGGAGGAACTAGGTTTATGGTGCCTTATCACAGTTTTCTCTTGCAGTTATCTGTAAAATGAGGGCCTTGTGGCAAAGACAGTGCTCATTATATAGCCATATGCTCCCCTTCCAATTCCCTGTCAATTGCTGGCCAATGAGCTGGAAATAGAATGTTTCCAGTTCAGGGTAAGGCAGTTAAAAGCTAGTGTATCTCCATATGTAACTCTTCTCCCACAGCAAATCTGGAAGGCAAATGTGCAAGACAGCATAGCTAAAAGTGATAAATGGCCCAAATTTATAAGAGGAAGAGAGATGCTTGAAGGAGAGCTATGCAGGTGGGCCACCAGACCCACAATGAACTTTGTCAGAGTGAAATAATCTTCTGGTTTGGGGTTACATGTTACTACAGCATGCCTTAGCTTATCCTGACTAGTAGAGACTTAATGCCAACTTGACAAAATTGTGAGAATGAAATGAAAGAGTATATGGAAAGCATCACAAACCTGTCTGGAAGAGAGAATTCGCTCAGTAAACATTTTTTTTTTCCATCTCAACTTTCAAAAACTGCATTTTGCTCCGAAGGATTAATCATTGCCCAAGAACTACTTTCTGATAAGACCCATTTCTGATAATATTTTAGTGTTGGAACTAGAGATAGAATTCTGAAAAAGATGAAGGTTTTACACAGCCTCCTCGACAGAGGCCTTCAGGGTTCATATAGGCTTCTGCTCCTTGCAGAAAACAATACAGACCCTTTGCAGAGCCTAACTCAACCCAACTCATTTCCCCTGGAGTGTAGAAAGATGTAGGTGGGGGAAAGTAGAGAGACAGTTTTCTTGGCACAGTGTTTTACATTTTTGTTTAGGTGTCTTGTTGTCAAAAGGCTTGCAAAAGTGGACTCAGGAACATTACCCAGAAGTTTGAGTGAGGGCTTGCTGCAAACCAAAGAAGCAGCATGCTCGTGAATACTCCCCTGCCTACAATCTCAGCATCCTGTGATTCAAGGCTCCTATAAATGACCTAGAAGAATATTGTATGTTAAAGAAGAGAAGTTGAGGCCCAAAGTGAGGAAGGGCTTGCCCCAGGGCCTCCTGCTGGGAGTGGCTAAATGTTAACACTTCCCTTGCCTCTCAGAGCTCCAGATTAGCCAGCCTCTCATCCAGGCACCTTCTCCTTATGTCACCTGCCTGAATGGGAGCTGTCAAAAATGAACACTAAAATCAGGCTTGGCAAGCTTTTCCAGCATCCATTTCACCATGATTTCTCTAAGTGCACATTGGATTGATGTAGCTATTAAAAGTTAGCCCTACCTTGGCAATCAGACAGAAAAGGTATAATCAACCCAGGCATTTCCAAGGGACCTTTCAAAGAACATCATTAATTCTGAATAAAGCTGTCCCTTACCAACACTTTCCAATTATAATCTTGGCATTCCTGTTTTATGCTGCAAAATTCCTCTGCCATTTACTGAAAAAGAAAAAAAAAAAGCCTACTTTTAAAATCACATGTATTTGGGAGCCTATGTGTCTTAATTTTCCAAAATTAAAACAAAACTAACAAAAAACTGTCCTTGTTGTTTTTTCCTCTTGTATGTACCCCTTCCCTCATCATCCATGTATTCTATTTGGAAAGGGCAATAAAATCTGTTAATCTATAGGACTGGGAGCTTGTTACCTGAAATAACTGAGACCCTCAAAAAAGAAAGCTGAGGCTTCCAAAGTGAGAATGATGCTGAGCACCTATTAGATCCTAGCGAAAAAGCAGAAAGCTCCAGATAGAAAAATAAATACGGTGAGAGAAGATCTGCCAGTTGCAATTTTGCTCATCTCATTACATTTCCAGTGTTACATTCCTGCTCCTGATGATTCCCTTCTTTGTTCAGCCAGTCTGCCACCCAGTGTGTGCCAGCCACTGTGCTAGAGCTTTACATTCTTCATCTCCTGTGTTCCTCACCAAGAGCCCTATGAAGTAGGAATGAACATGTTTAAAAATGAAGAAATGAGACCCACAGGTATTAAGCAACTGTCCTAATGTCCCAAGCTGGGATCTGAATCCACTGATCTTTACTAAATCCTAGAGGATAGCTCTGGGGTTGAGATAAGGTAAGCAAAGTGACACCGATTATTATATTTTAAAATTCTCACTTTTCCCCTTGGCCGGGTGCTGGCTAATAGAGTTGGGGAATAGACTCTGATTTGCAGAGGATGGAGACGGTGGAGACAGAAAATAAGGCGTGATTGGCCACAGGAATTTCTGCAGGACAAATTTCCAGTCCACTGCATCCCCTCTAGGTCTAGTTGGGACCAGGAAGTCAGGGGCTCCAGAAGTCACATGGACAGGAGAACTTCAGGGGAAAAACAAGACAGTGCAGGTAATAAGATGTGCCCTCAGCGCTACTGAGACAGGCAGAACCTACAAGCCCCTCTGGCCTTATCGTGCGTCGTGGGTAGGTGTCAGATCGGGCTCCCTAGCGTGCAGGTGGTGAAACCCTTTTTTCTGTGCGCACCAAGTACGCAGTTGGCGAACCGCTCGCTTGCGTGCCAGACGCACCGCTGATGAGCTCTTCAGTGTGCACAGAACTGAGGGCAAACTTTTCCTCGTGCGCTGGTGCAAAATTTTTAGGCGCGCGCTCCAACCGTACAAGCTTCCGCCCACTCTCCCATTTGCCAAGCTGCCTCTTTCTCCAGCAGCCCCATCCCCAAAGCAACATTCCGCAGCCCGCTCCTCACCTGCGTGGTGGCCTGCAGCGGCAGCACAGCTCTCCTGCGGCGGCCGAAACGAAACTTGGCCGCCTTGTAGATCTTCCAGTAGACGAATAGCACCACGCCAAGCGGCAGGTAGAAGGCGCCGCAGGTGGAGAAGACGGCATAAGAGGGCTCCTGGCTCACCTGGCAGCGCTGGAGCCGAGCGTCGTACACCTCGCCCCAGCCAAAGAGCAGCGGCGCGAGCGCGATGAGCGCAGACAGCCCCCAGGTGAGCGCGATCATGAGCGCCGAGGCGCGGCGGCGGGTGCGCAGCGTGTACTGCAGGTGGCGCGTGATGGTCCAGTAGCGGTCCAGGGCGATGGCCGCCACGTTCCAGATGCTGGCCGTGCAGCACAGCACGTCGAAGGAGATCCACACGTGGCACAGGCTCCGGCCCAGCAGCCAACGTCGCCCGGCCGACAGTTCACTCACCAGGCTCAGTGGCATCACCAGCGCTGCCACTAGTACGTCCGAGACGGCCGTCGAGGCCACCAAGTTATGCGGCACGCGATGGAAGGCACGGACCCGCAGGATGGTGACCAGAATCAGCAGGTTCCACAGGAAAGTGGCGGCGATCAGCAGCACTAGCAGCGTCACCACCAGCACCGTGAAGACAGAGAAGGGCGGCTCCCAACCCTGCAGGACGGCACCACCCGGGGTCGAACTGAGGATCCCGCTCGGGCTACTGCTGCAGGTCTCGGGTCCCAGGGCAAGGGCAACGCCGGCGGTGGCCACTGAGAGGTTAGCGGCTTCCATGGGGCGCAGGATCGCGGCTCCAGGGCAGGGGACGCGAGAGTGGTCAGTGAGCTCGGCCTGGACCGTGCAGGTGGGGGCGTGGAGGAGGTACTGCCTGCCAGAAGAGGGGTCCAGGTCGTCCTACGCTGGTCCCTCCTGCGGGCAGCAGCCCCCCGTTGGCACATATGCCTGCAGCCCCTGCAGACCCTCTTTTCCAGTAGAAAGGGAACAAGAGAGCAGGACCCCTCAGTCCAGCTCACCACCTCTCTTAGCGGTCCCGGGTGCCACCGGCTGTCATGGGGCTGAGAATCAGCGCAGCCCAGTGACCGAGCGCCGTGCTTAGAGAGTTGCCCCCTCCACCACCCAGCGGCGGCGGGAGACGAGCTGCACCTGGAGTGGGCGGTGGTGGGCGGAAGCAAGGGGTGGCTGGAGAACCGACCAATAGGAGCCGGGCCTTCAACGCTGTCTCCGCTCGTCTCCCTGCCTCCGCCAAGCAGAAAGAACCCTAACTGCAGCAGTCTCTGGGAAAGGTTTACAACTGGTTTACAATGGGGAGAAAGTCCCTTGCCGCCACCTCCGCGGATAGCTGGCACCTGCTGGCGGCCCGATTTGACACTGGGAAACAAGGGTCCTGCCCAGTCCCAGCCAGAGGGGTTCTGGTTTCCTGGAATCTCGATCCTACCTATACCCGAAATAGGAATCCAGGTATTGGGATATGTAAAACACTAAGCTCCTAAGCCCAGCCCCATCCTGCCGCTTCATTTCCAGCTGGTCTGTCTGGCCAGGGCTTGGTGGTGCCTTGAGAAGTTTATTCCCTGGCTCTAAGCGAAAAGAAGGCGCGACTTCTGAGCACTCTGGCAGCGATCTGGAAGCGGGACCCTTTAAACCATCATCTTCGCCAGCTCTAACTTCCCCCATCAGGTCCCCACCCCCGACATACCACACGTTCCACCCGGCCCTATCCTTTCCGTTTCTGACATTCCTGACTCTGTGTCTTCCAGTTCTTCATATCCACGTTCAAACTGGAGTTCTTTTTGTTGAGCCTTGGGCAAAAGTAGGAACCAATTAGAAAAGTGGAATTCCCAACAGCCTCTCACACTTAAAAAATAGTTCAATCATAATTAACTCAATCTAAATCTGTGTTACCTGTTCCTGGGAGTAGAACAGAAACACAACACAGAGCCCAAACCGCCCCTTTTCTTGTCAAGGTGAGAAGGGTTAGACCTCAAGCAGGCTGACCTGGCTGGTGCCTGAATGACCGCGGAATGTGGGAGGAAGGGACATGAAACACTCAAGGTGCAAACCCCAAGAAGCAAGTTTGGACTTCATCATGGAGAAAGCTGGAATTGAGAAGATTCTGAGAAAATTGACCTGATGAAGAGGAATTTGTTAGAAAAAAAGGAAGACTAGCCTTTGAAATATGTTTACAATCTCTCTCCATTAAACAAACATAAGAGCAAAGAATATTAGAAATACAAAAATATTCATATTGCACTAGCCAGATGCATGACATGCTTTTATTCTCATCTTTTGTCCCTATCCACATACATTTTATGGGTAAAATCAATTTTTTATTTTGCAGATTTCTGTTAGCACTTTTCATGTTATTAGATACTGTCTTCATAGTTCCACTTTTTATAGGGTGCCATTTATCAGTTGGGAGACTCTGAGCAACCTAAGCTTTCTGAGACTCATCTTCCTTATCTTAAAAGTGGGGATAATTATACTTGCCACGAAATCATTGTAAAACTAAGCTGGGCGCGGTGGCTCACGCCTGTAATCCCAGCACTTTGGGAGGCCGAGGCGGGTGGATCATGAGGTCAAGAGATCGAGACCATCCTGAGCAACATGGTGAAACCCCGTCTCTACTAAAAATACAAAAAATTAGCTGGGCATGGTGGCGCGTGCCTGTAATCCCAGCTATTCAGGAGGCTGAGGCAGGAGAATTGCCTGAACCCAGGAGGCGGAGGTTGTGGTGAGCCGAGATCGCGCCATTGCACTCCAGCCTGGGTAACAAGAGCGAAACTCCGTCTCAAAAAACAACTAGAGTTAGAGCCAGTAGCACAGTATTAGATGTTCAGTAAGTGGTAACTGGTCCTGCTCTTTCTAACTTCTAATCTAAACCTGAGATTCACTTATCTTCTGATCTTTGAGGTAGATTAGGTTTTTAGGGAGTTTTATTCTCTAAAATATTTGTAACAACAAAACACTTTCTCCACTTTATTTCAGTTGATCCTACCTACAATCATTTTAGGCTTCATTCTCATTTGCAGAAGAAATGAAGAAAGATTTGTTGACTTGCTGTTATGGACATAATTGTGTTGCCCCAGATTCATATATTTAAGCCCTAACCCCCAATGTGCCTGTATTTGGGGAGCGGACCTACAAAGAGGTAATAAGGTTGACTGAGGTCATAAGGGTGGGGCCCTAATTTGATAGGATTTGTGTCGTTGTAAGAGGCACCAGAGACCTCACTCTGTCTCTCCTTAGCATGTAAAGACACAGTGAAGAGGATTCTGCCCACAAGCCAGGAAGAGGGTACTCACCAGAAAATGAATCTGTTGGCAACTTGATCTTGGATTTCCCAGCCCCTTAAACTGTGAGAAATAAATTTCTGTTGTTTAAGCCACCCAGTCTAAGTTGTTCATTACAGCAGTCTGAGCAGACTGAGACACTTGCCTTGAGACTGATAGCTTGGACTCAGCTCTCTGACCCCCATTTCCCACCCCTCTATCCTACCACTCTACTTCTTTTCTTTCCATAGCTCTTCACAGAAGTGACATCATATTATTATTTAATTCTCTTTCCATTATCTAAATGACTTTCCCCACTAAAGTGTAAGCTCTTCTTGGCCCGGGAATTTGTTCACTGCAATATCCTTAGCATCTTGTTCTGTGCCAGGCACGCGGTAGGTCACTCAATACATTGGAATGAGTTAAATAAATAAATGAGGCGTTGCTGGGAGACGTGGTTCATAGGCCCTGAGCATCCCCTGAACCTTTTCGTTGTGTGTGCTAAGAATGCAAGGCCCTGACTGCTCATTTCCTAGGCCATTCCTGAGTGTTATATTTGTAGCAAGCAACCTTAAAAGATAAAGTAAACTCTCTCCTGGGCAAGGGGCAGGCTTGCTGTCACTTACTGTCAAAGTGGTGAATCCCAAGCTCAGTGTTTCTCTCTGTGACCCTGCTCACTACTGGGCAGGCATGGGCCCTTTCTATCACCTGCATGAGATTTGGGAAGCATGAAGAGCTGTCACAAAGACGAAACTCTGGCTGTGGCTTTTGCCAAGAATATTACAGTTTGTTGTCTCTGACTCAGGAGTCTCATGTCTTCTGCCAGCATTTATGAAATTGTAACAGCGTAGCTTGTTAGCTTGAAAGTAGAGTAAAATCTCAACCCTGCATAGTACATGACAGTTTCCAGGTTTTTAAAAATTACAGTTGGCAACTTTTCTTTCTTTGGGGTTTCTTTTTTTTTTTTTTTTTTTTTTTTTTTTAGATATTTGACATCTCAAAAATGTTTGACAAAACAAACTTTTTTTGAGATGGGAGTCTCCCTCTGTCGCCCAGGCTGGAGCACAGTGGCATCATCTTAGCTCACTGCAACCTCCATCTCCTGGGTTCAGGTGATTCTTCTGCCTCAGTCTCCCGAATAGCTGAGATTACAGCCATGCACCATCATGCTGGGCTAATATTTGTATTTTTAGGGGAGATGAGGTTTTGCCATGTTGGCCAGGCTGGTCTCGAACTGCTGACCTCAAGTAATCTGCCTACCTAGTCCTCCCAAAGTTCTGGGATTGCAGGCGTTCTGCCTGGGTTTATTTTCTTGATATATTTTCTCCCAAATTTAATTATTATTATTATTATTATTATTATTATTTTTTTTTTTTTTTTTGAGACGGAGTTTCGCTCTTGTTACCCAGGCTGGAGTGCAATGGCGCGATCTCGGCTCACCGCAACCTCCGCCTCCTGGGTTCAGGCAATTCTCCTGCCTCAGCCTCCTGAGTAGCTGGGATTACAGGCACGCGCCACCATGTCCAGCTAATTTTTTGTATTTTTAGTAGAGACGGGGTTTCACCATGTTGACCAGGATGGTCTCGATCTCTCGACCTCGTGATCCACCCGCCTCGGCCTCCCAAAGTGCTGGGATTACAGGCTTGAGCCACCGTGCCCGGCCTATCCAAATTTAATTATTGAGTTAAAATATAGGAATAGTGTAACTGTTCCTTTTATGCATTTTCAAATTGTACCTCAGAAAAATATAATGGTGTCAGTTTTCTTATCCCTGGCTTTGGAGAAACAAGAAAAAACCGAAAAGCCTTGCTAAAGCAAAATTTTTAACATTAAACACAAGTTTAATTGTTGTATAATGATGTATTTTAATTGTTTTGATTTTCTTTTCTTTTTTTTTTTTTTTTTTGAGATGGAGTTTCGCTCTTGTTGCCCAGGCTGGAGTGCAATGGCATGACTGGGTTCACTACAACCTCCCCGCAACCTGGGTACAAGCGATTCTCCTGCTTCAGCTTCCCGAATAGCTGGGATTAGAGGCACGTGCCAACTTGTCCGGCTAGTTTTTGTATTTTTAGTAGAGACGGGGTTTCAACACATTGGCCAGGCTCATCTCAACCTCCTGACCTCAGGTGATCCACCTGCCTCAGCTTCGCAAAGTGCTAGGATTATAGGCATGAGCCACCGCACCTGGCTTGATTTACATTTTTAGTGGATAAAAATGCTACATTTTTCAATATGGTGTTTATTATGCATTCTTGTGTATCATTTATTATGTATTATTTATCTTGTGTAAAAGCTGTTTATCTACTTTAAACTACTTTATACAAGTAATATGAGTGCTGATTTTATGACTATCAACTTTATTTTTTTATTTTTTATTATTATTATTTTTTTGAGACGGAGTTTCGCTCTTGTTACCCAGGCTGGAGTGCAATGGCGCGATCTCGGCTCACCGCAACCTCCGCCTCCTGGGCTCAGGCAATTCTCCTGCCTCAGCCTCCTGAGTAGCTG